AAAACCTTTCAAAGTTTAAACGAATGCAAATTACTTGTTGATCTTCCTGGATTTGAAAGCCCCTCGATTATTACGGGTGATGAATATCGTCCTGATTTACTTGTCTCCACTTCAGACAAACACCTCTACGTTGTTGAACTTACCGTAGGCTTTGAATCAAACCTCACAAACAATGTTAACCGCAAGAAAGCTAAATATAAGAACCTAATTAGAGAACTAGATCAAAACTTTACATCTGTTAAATTTATAAATCTTTCAGTCAGTTCGCTAGGGGTGTTTGACAAAGAATGCCATACATTCGTAAAAATGCTAAATGAGTTAGGACTGGATAATCTCGAACTCATTAATAATTCATGAGCAAATTAGCGAATGAACTCACCCTAATTCGTCACATGATTGAGGTTGGATACCGCAAGGAAACACGCTAAAAATCATATACCATCACTGTTGTTAGATGAAAAACGGTTTTCATCTAATAACTGAGATCCTAATTACAAATTCAAGTCAAAACACAACAATATACTATAATAATTACTGACGGTTATAATAACCTATTGTTTTCTCTCTGCATTATATCAGCGAATGTCGAGAAGCTAAAATAGCACCCAGCATTATTAAAAATAATGCAGCGTGCACACAGCATTATTAAAAATAATGCAGCGTGCACACAGCATTATTAAAAATAATGCAGCGTGCACACAGCATTATTAAAAATAATGCAGCGTGTATCAGTGCACACAGACATTATTCGCAATCCTTCGTCATCCTGACAAGTACACGCGATAACGTGAACATCTCAAGATGAGAAGTTGACAGTGCTAAAGGCCCCTCATACAATATCATCGGGCGCCTGAAGCACTGCCAAAACGGTCACTGTGAGTCCTTTCAGCTCAACTTTATAGAGAAATAGTTTCGTTTGCGCTTGTGGGATTTTATCCTAGATATACGCATGTGCAGAACACACCATAACTTCTATTCCCGTGTTTATCCAGTTTAATAATGTTTTCGTTCGAGATGTTATGTAAACAACTCGTTTCTCGTGTTTCATCAGGGGACCAAACACTCGAAAACAATAAAACACTCGCGCTTCGCGCTCGTGTTTCATACAGTTTTCTCGTGTTTGGATCCCCTGATGAAACACTCAAACTCGTTGTTTACATATAACATCAACACCAACAATATTGTATCAGAAAAATGATATCTATTGCCATCCGATCAACGTACTACATATTTTGCTGTAGAAATAAAGAATGGACAAATCCCGAACTAATGAACATTTAATAAAGTAACTATTTCTATAAATAATTAACAATTTTTGTATATAAAACTATAACCACGTATAAGTGATTCAAGTAGTCAATTGTAGGTTACCTCAAGAAGTGAGATTTACAATTGTATATATCTATAAATGTTCTATTAATAAAGTTTTCATTATTATTATTATTATTATTATTATTATTATTTGAATGTTATTTGAATGTTATTTAAAATTAACGGTAGCTCTTCAGGGCACATACGCACCTGTTTTTCAAGAGGCCGTTCGACTAAAAAAAGCAGTTACAAAATATGAAGGATACAGGTGCACGTTACAAGCATAAGTGCTACACAATATAGAAAAAAAGCTAGAAGCATGCATGAAATTACATAATGTATATAAATATTTACCCAACCGTACCCCCTTTTAAACGAACTAATCACAATAGAGAACTTATACAATATAGTATATCATTGTGGAGAATAATGATCAAGAATAGTTTTGAACTTCTGGCTACTAATGCCTAAACTTTTGGCCTCTGGAGGCAAATTATTCCAGGCCGAAGAAGCAGCATAGCTTATGCTTTTTCCATAAAATTCGTATTTGGTTTATCAAGGATGAAATCTCGGTTGTTGCTACGGAGATTATACCGTAAGTTTGTTTTGATATCAAATATATTTGTTGTGCTGATTGGCAATTTGTTATTCCTAATCTTATGCATAAAAAAAGTTTCTTATGCTTAAGACGTTCTGTCAAAGGTTGCCATTGTAGTTCTTTTAAAACATCGCATGATCTTGTTTCGTACGTTTTACTAGTAACAAGACGCTCTATGGAGCGTTAACTCGCTGGGGCTATACAAATACGCACATTATTGTATATGATACCAGGTACAGTACACAGCTATTTCAATTAAGATCTAAGCCTGGCCCCGAGCTAAGCGGAAAAGTCGAATACGAAAATGGAAGATTGCACTAAAATGCGGTACCCTACAAATAAAACGTCCGGCGTTTATGCCCACAAGTAAAGTTATATTTTATAGTATGCTACATTCTTCTGTCGGCCGCTAGTTTAAAACGTCCAAACTAAAATATTTTGGGGCTTTTGGGCTCAAAATATTATCAAAATGAAGAGAGAAGTGAGACGAATCCACTGGTATACGGCCGAAAAAGAGAAAACCAACGATACCAAAGTTATCAAAGATCAAACGTACTGCATTTTTTATAATTTGAGCGATTTGTCAACAAATAATACAATTTCGCTTGGCTTTCAAAGACAAAGGCCATAAATCGCTAGAATAATTAGGCAATACAAATACAAGGACAAACGTCTGCTAGTGATTTGTCAACAATACCGTACTGCCAGTAGCCTGCGAACAGGCTCACTGGGAGAAAGATGAGCCTGCACGGAACCATGCGTTTTATTCAATCATCCCCTTTTCGCATCTGCTAAACGCGAACCAATCAGCGTCGACTGCGATAAATAAACTGTCAACTGTCAAATTGACGCAAGGCGTGTACATTGTGCAACATGAACAATAATACAAAGCATTAGCGGGCCGCACAATATATTACTCGGAAAAATATAGAATTCTTCAAATATTAAATAGATATCAATACACATACAAATATAAAGCCGAATAAACTACCATTGGCTTTGAATGTACAGTAATACTTGTACTATGTGCGACTGAAAGAACAATGTTCTGAATATTTTGAAGCTATTACTAAAATACGGTCAGATAGATTGGGATTTGGAATACCGAATACGTTTAAAATTTTACTAACTGTGGTCTAAATAAATGATAAATGAGCATGTATTTATTAATTTCTCCGAAATCACGAGTGTGCCAATAGTGGAAGCCGTATCGACGACGAAATTGTCAGCAGTTAATATACAGCAAATAGTACAACATGAATTTTTTTTTCTGTGTTGGTGTAGTGTACTCAGGTGAATATGATATTTGTGGTGTTACTCTGAGTGTATATCCACACCGGGCGAGCTTGAAAAATATGCCCGGTCACGGTGGGTTTCGAACCTACGACCTTTGGAATACTAGCCCAATGCTCTTCCAACTGAGCTACGCGGTCAGGACGGTTCGAGTAAGTGATATTTCGGAACAGAATTCATATTTAATATGAATTCTGTTCCGAAATATCACTTACTCGAACCGTCCTGACCGCGTAGCTCAGTTGGAAGAGCATTGGGCTAGTATTCCAAAGGTCGTAGGTTCGAAACCCACCGTGGCTGGGCATATTTTTCAAGCTCGCCCGGTGTGGATATACACTCAGAGTAACACCACAAATATCAAATAGTACAACGTTTAATGTACAATATATATTTATCTAAATGACATGCCAGCGAGGATCAACAATATAATTATTCGTACATATTTGGGTATCTTTTGTATGCCTTCGCTTGCTGACTTGCTCACTAATGAGAATAATCCGTGAAGCCACGACGACCTCAAAATGTACTATACTATAGTCTGATGTCAATCCGAAGTTCAGAATACTGTTATAGTTTCGTATATTGGATTTAAGCGATAGATTCAAGTCATTTATGATAGACTTTTTTGCTGTGATGCTTTGCTGTTGCTTTTGGTTTCCATTTCTAGTTTTATTTGTTCGATAGTCCTATAATCATATAATATTAAAATGAACAAAGTTCAAATTCTTCAAAATGCTGTTGTTGACATTTGCTATTTTTAGTAATTTTGTCAACGAGTGTAAGCCAATCAGAAGCCTGCGTTTCTATACGAACGCCACTACCAAGAAAACCTATAGTTCCGTGCAGGCCCTCTATTCTTCGCGCCGCCCGCAACCCAGGGCCTGTTCGCAGGCTATACTGCCAGCGATTTGTCAATACAATTTCTCTTGATTTTCAAAGGCCATAAATCGCTAGAATACTGTTGTTTAGTAATACATTTGGCATCCGTAAGTACAATTTCTTACGCTGAATCGAATGGTGGTGTTTTTTTTCTTATTGCGCCATTAATAGGCATTACAAATACAATATCATATTTCACACTGAGTACACTGCAGTTTTCACGGGTAGTCTAGGACCTGTATATGAGTTTGTATGCGATTCATTTAGGACAGGTAATCTCAACTGTTTTAGGGTAAAATGACCATGGCGGTCAACATGGCATATGTGCCAAAACCTGAATCCGGGACGAAAGTCCTGAAAATGACCCCGCCCTGAAACGGCAGTGTCGACATAGCTCTAACTTCCAAAAAGGAAAAGCGATAGCCTTTCTGAAGTGCTTATAGTGTTTAGAAGGGTTGCTTTTAGGGGTGGTCATTGGAAGGAAAAATTTGTCGAAGTATAATATTTTACCAGAAAATGACTATGCATCACCCCAGGTAAATTGCTGATTATGCACAAAATAACTAATATGCCTGGCAGAAATTAAATATTCTTATTTTCTAAAAAAAATTATCATGGGGTGAAAAACTATGCTTAATTTAATATAAATATTGTTGATTTCATAAGGATTGTCATTGTTTTCTTTAAATATAATACATTTTATTTCACTTACCCCCCACGAAAACACGATTTCAGCCATATTTTGCCGTCTTGTTTGCTTTTTATCGCCGAATCTCGCAAATATCATCCAGTTATTGTACTTTTACATAATCTTCAAAAACTCATTAATAATTCATGAAGCAATTATCCAATCTTGAGTAAGAAATTAGTCACGTGCATACATCTTTATACCAGCTAAAGAACACTTGACAAAACTACGCAAATATTTATTGTTTTTATTATAAATCATAAAAATACAATAAATACAATATATTTAGTTATGTTTCTGTGGTGGCGAACATATTCGTGAAAATATTCAAACCCCCTGCCATGTGTCCACGAGAAGTTTTCGCGAAGATTGCGCGTGACTTTCAAATGATTTGTTTTTTATTTTGAACCTAAATGGTATACGGGAGGATTTTTCCTTCCTAATGGGACAAATGTTGCCAATTTTTGGATTGGGACTATTCTACAATGAAGTACTCTCGGATACTGTAATCTAAATACATATGGAAACGAAGAAGTTGCATTTATCAGACAGAGAAGCGGCGAGCCATTAAAATGGCGGCAATTTGGCGGAATATCGAAGGACACAATATCGAAGGTAAAATACACTGCACTGTTACAAAAGTGGATGAAACCATACCTAATTTTAGTGTGCAGTGATAACCAATTTGTGCAGTGATAAAAGTAAAATGTGCAGTGATAAAATGTAAAATGTGCAGTGATAAAATTTGCTTTGATAAGTTGTTAATTAACACAAGAGAATGATTTAATTGAAATTGAAATGATGACTGCCAAATTATCGAATTAAATAATAGTATATGTTTTTTGTACGAAAATCATGAGATTCAGGCAATTTTTAGTTAATATCTGGCTTTTGGTATGTCCGGAAAACATTTTTGACCCTTAAAATGGTACATAGGCTCAGATTCCGGCCGTTGTGTTCTCGCCACTCGCCCACTTAACGGCTGGGTCAATGAGCTTCGACATTGTTCTGATTGACCAATCACATTATAGCCCCCCAAAATTTGGGGGGCATAAATTGGTATTAATAATGCATAAATTTAACACAAAGGTAATAAATTAAATATGGCTAAAGCGCATTGCTGAATGCTGAAGCGTTCGAGGTCGGCGTTGTGCAAATATGTGCACTTAAAAAGATCTGTTCAACGATATTTATACGTGAACTACATGGATTAAAGCGAAATTTTTTGGGGAAGAGTAATTCCGACGATTTTTACGACACGAAACGAAGTCTCTCTACGAATAATAGTCGCTGGAATCAGGGTCTTAGCTAGGATTTTAGATCTTGGGCGTGTTTCCAATGACCAGGGCGTGCACATGTCAATTACCTTGAATAGCAAAATCGCGGTTCTAGTTATGCTCGCCAACAATAATGCTTGTGGTTGTTCTATGCTTTGCAACCAAATACAAGGCGAGCATACACTCATATTGCGCACCGACATTAAAATATTAAGTTATTTCAGCAACTCTTGGGGGTATTTAAAACCATTTTAACACCATACAGTTCCCATTATCCATCAAAATATTAAAACATCACGAATCACTTTTGCCAATTCAACAACAACAGTAGATTTTACAAACTTTCTTACGACGTAAATAGGAAGAAATTCTGCCTGTTGTAAGTAGCACCACCTTATTTTATGAACCTACACGGCCTTATATAAATAGTGAAGCAGCGTTCATTTTATCTAGCCGTGTTTTCCCACTTTCGGCCGTGATAACACGGCCAACACGGCCCTCTAGCTAAGACCCTGGCTGGAATGTTTTCGATCGTCTTTTCGAATCCGTTGCATATTTTTATATTGTGTTTATAAATAATATATCTCATTGAGGATTCTTGGTCATGAAAGGGCAAAGAATATTTTGCGTGTGGCTGAGCAAAATTAATAACCTTTCTTTTTTTAGCTTAGTTAGCTAGGTGGCCTAGTCCTTTGAAACCCTCCCTGTTTCTGCTGATTCAGTTGGACATTTATAATTATATTTACAATAAACCTGGATGTGTTTATTATTGGGTTGGTCTGACATATTGACAGGAAAGTAGAAAATGTTATTTTGCAAAGTCTTGTGACATATAGTATATTAGTATGTAGGATATTGCACTATTAAAAGGCTTATTTTAATCAATATTAATTAAGACATGTTTATATGATCCTGTCAGGTGAGAAAGTGGGAAACCTTGCCAGGCAGCTAGGATGTCATGTTTATACATGTTCGTGAGTGAGTTCATCAAATATATACATGTATTTTTGAACACAAGTTGATATGATAGTCAGGATCTTGGAAATTGCCTCATCCTGCCTAGCTGGGAGTTTATAAACAGGCCCTTTCATGGAGCCCATGGCTAGGTAATAATAGGCTTGCATGGTTAGATCTCCCACAAGCTAGTTTGGGCCATTTGCAGGGGCGTAGGAACCTTCGAAAAGATGGGGGGGGGGCAGGCTTTGAGGGGCACTTTTCAAAAAAAAAGGGCATCTCCAATTTTTTTGTTGGCAACCTCTCCCCCCGGTTCCTATGCCCCTGGCCATTTGACAATATTTTTTAGACTGGGCAGGTAATTTGTGAACTGAAACTGATATATCAGTGTGCTCATATATGCTAATTGCTAATTACAGGCAAGCACAATAAATTCAATATTATTTTATATATTGACAATATGATTTACCATGAATACTATTTGAATAAATGTGGGCATATAGTTATTTGAAGGGCAATAAATAAATCCAATTGTTGTGAAGGGGCAAAAAATGGGACTTGTTGGATAGCCTAAGTAGAGGATTTATGGAATAAAAGTATGCAATGTTTTATAAATTCAGACATCAGTGAAATATGCATTTAGTCTGTTCAACAAGCTCAAATATGTTTGCTCTCAGGCTGAGTTTTGGAAACCTTGTCAGTATGGTATTAAGAAAAGGATAGTTGTCATGTCAATGTGTGTTTTTAACGGCTGTTCACATGAAAGCCAGACTGAAAATGACAAAGCATGATAAATTGCTAGTTCTGAAAGATTGAATATTTATTTAAGTTAATAAAACAAGGGTTCAGAAAATTTGTTGCAGTAACACTTTAGTTAGAAAATATCAAAATGTTAAACACCAAAATTATCCTGGCATGGGGGATTAAGTTTTCATGGGGGAAAAGAAGCCAAATTCTTCTTGCATTCCTGCAGAGATGTATTCAGGGATGGATTTACTGGGGGGGGGGCACCCCCCCCCCTTGTCCTGGCCAGGGGTGTGTGTGTTATTTTTCATGATAAAGCAAAAAATTATTAGAGACAAAATGACAAACAGTAATTTGAGTAATAACATGATGATAAGTGAAATGTGAACAACAATTACAATTTAAATACAGTAGTCAAGCAGGACTTTGCAGTAGTGAAGCAAGTTGATGGGCGGGTGGCACACATGACCGACACAACTCGGCACCAGAGCTGGCAGAGCACCCCCCTACCAGATCATGCTGGATCCATCCCTGGATGTATTTACCCCCATGGGGATGCACCCCCTTAACATTGGCAAGGGGGGGGGGTATTTCATCAAATCATTTTTTTTCAATTTGGAAAGGCAATATTCTGTCACCATTACCACAATAATACCCCTCACTGCTGTGTGTAGCTACAAATGA